GAGATTTGACCCACTTTCATTTTTCTAAATGACAAGTGAAATTCCAGAGAATAGGTAGGTAGCTTTCAAAAAGATTTTGCTGGATTACATGAGTATGCAGTCTCTATTTCCAAGCCCTAGACTATATTAATCACATGCTTTCAGTGTCTTTGTCGGATTGTCTATAAATTTAGGAAGGTCATGGATATCATGTTTWCACATTATAATGTCTGTATTGAATGTATTCCAGCTACACCCTTTTAGGAAAGGCAGGCAATGCAACATAACCTCCCCAAATAAAACTTTTTGTCTTATAATTCACCTAGCTCTCTACCACAGGTAATGTGTAAGCATTTCTCAAGGAGCTGTAAAGGAAGGAAATGGTGCTAAACTCCTTTTAAAATTATCCAGTCCAAGCTAGTGCCGCATGCAATAAATCACATTGTCCTGAAATTCGTAAATGGGGGAAATGGGCCATGGCCCCACAGCTATCAGCATCACGATGCCAAATGCAGCTCTTACAGTAGGAATAAAGTATTTCTGGCACATTTCTGCTTCCTTCAAACTTGCTTGTTTCCTTACATTGAATTCCCAGTCCAGCATCAATGTCATTTTATCATTGGTGTGCCACTAATGTCTCCTACCCTTTCCATTCCTCCCAGTCCTCTTCACATTTCTCAGACCTGCAACTTCTTTAAATCTCCTTTCTTCCCAAGGATATTGTCTCATAACCTTTCCCCAGACTTTGACACATCTAAACAAAATAATATTTTGCATTAGCCTCTTTGGCTTACACATGTATCTTCCTATCTCTGACCACTGTGGGTCCCCCTCCTAATTTGCCTATTGTCTTCAAATCTCTTTTTGAACATTTATCTCCTAGCTCTCTGGTTTTCATAACTTTCTTATATCTTACTTCAAGCAGACCAACATCAAATGGGTTTCTCTCTCATCTATCCCTCCTTAACTTTTTTGCTTCCCACATCCTCTGAGTTTCTACCTTGTTCAAAGGACATTAAGGAAACAGAGTAGTAGGAATGAGAGGACAGCTGTGGAAAAATGCAGAAGGACTTACTGTGACTGAGACACTGAGAACTAAGACAGCAGGTGAAATTCAAGGCTAATAAATGTAAAGCATTACAAATAAGAAAATTTTAACATATAAAATTATGATCTCAGAGCTGACCATTGCCATCCAACAAGAAGATTCAGTGTATATAATAAATAGTTCTATGAAAATACCACTCTGGTGCTCAGCAACAGCCAGAGATATACGAAAACTGTTAGGAGTTACTAGGGAAGGAACAAAAAACAGAAAAAAGAATGTCAATATGCCACAGGACAAATCCCTGCCATACCTGCACCCTGAATACTGTGTGAGGATTTGGTCCCTCATCTGAAACATGACAAAGCAGGAGAAGAAAGGGTTCAGAGAAGAATGGCCAGGATAATGAAGAACCATGGAGCAGCCCCTATATGAGGAATAAATAACTCAGGCTGAAAARCAGTGAGCTAAGGATGGGACAGAACAACAGAAGGGCGTGTAAAATCTCATGGGACATATACTACAGATACTACATTGGCATTGAGGGCTAGTGGGCAGAGGGTTCAGAACAGACAGAAAGAAGATGGCTTAACATTTTGTGTACAGTAACTTGTGGGACTTCTTGCCACAAGAGATTGCAGAGGCTAGTGGGTAGGAGGCTATAGTGGTTATAACTCAAAAATTACTAGGCACTTCCATAGAAGGAAAATCTATTAAGGGCTATTAAATACGAAAATATCACACCTGGCTTAGGAAGTCCTTGAGTTGCAAATGATTAGAAGCTGGAAGATCATGCTGAGGAAATAACACTTTTATCACTGTATATATTCTTCCCTAGGTATTTGCTGTTGTTCTCTATCAGAGACAGGATATTGAGCCAGATGGACCTTTGGTCTGACCCCATACAGCCTTTCTGATGTTCTTGTGTTTATATTCTTAACTGACCGTATGGATGCTCCTTGCACTTTCACCTTCCACTATACAATGCCAAAAAACCCCTCCTGCCTACAGCAGCACACCGAGAGGGAGAAAAAATATCAGTCCCAGCACATCTTTGCYGAAAAATCCTTCCTAGATAAATTTAGGTACTTATTTACTCTTTTAATCTAGTGTCAGACTGGTGTCATTGCTGAAAAACCATTCACTCTGCAGCTCTGGTCACCTGAAACAATCTGTGCAGACCTCTCCCCTTTCAGCAATTCCTTATCTCCTTCTAAATTCTCATCTTAAAACCTGACTTTCTAGCCTGCCTTCAACCCCTCCATTTCTGTCTCTCCTGGTTATTGGTCTTATGACTGAATGCTTTAATATTTTCACCATGCAAGGTCTTTATGTCACTRTTTCATGTAATTTATATCTGTGAGCTGGAGCCTTTCCCATCTTGCTTTCAAGCACTGGCCATATACTGCATTGAGTCCAAAATGATCCCCACCCCCTTATTGCTTTGGGGGTTTGGCTTTATTAACAAGGATATAAGCAACAAGAAAATAAAGTTCAGCTATTTCTAAGGCTTCTCCCTCATGGCTGCTCAGCCAGCATCTTAGATAGCCTCTCCCCAGCAAACCATTTTTATCTCCCTTTTACACCAGTGAACTAATAAGCCTCCTACCTCAATGAGTCAGCAGAACCCACTTAACCCTTTCTCACAAGGGTCAAAACTTGCTATAAGGACGTTTGCCTCAGACTTGTTACAGAACCATATTCTGCCCCTCGGTCTTGAATAATTTATTTGTGCAGCAGACCTAGATTAGTGTTTAAATCAAAATGCTGCCCAAACAAAGGCTGTGCTGTACAGTGCAAAATGAAACCAATTACTACATCATCTACTGCTCGTCTTTTACAGCGCGAGATGCCCCCTACAGTACTGYGGAGGACAGGCTTGTCTGCTGGGAACATTCAGGCACAGGAAGAAGCAGAGGGATTTTTCAGAGGGAATCAGCTCTTGATAAAAAAGTAAATTCAGTGCCAGAAGTGAAAGTGCACACTTTCACTTTGATCCATCAAAACTTAAGACCTTTTCTAGGGTGAAATTAAAGCAAGCTCTAAATATGTCTATGCAGAGCTGGTTTTCCACAGAGCAACTTTACTAGGGATGAAGGAAAGAAGAAAATGCCTATCCTAACACATAACGCAGAAATTAAATATAAATTCTCAGAACGTGGCTCAAGGTCTGGAATTTCACTACTTTAAAAAATAACATCTCACAGAAATATGCAGAAACAAGGGATGCAATGTATTTTATATTATTTTATAGTAGAAGAGCATTATAAACCTTAGAGCATCTCTGCATGCCTGAAACATTAACAAGACCATGTTCTTTATGTGTTTTAGAAACRTAATCTGAGTCTACTGAAAAAAACCCCAAAAACCAAAACCCCAAAACAACCCACACAAATAAGTTATTTCTCTTATTTTTCCTACCTCCGTTACTGTTCAATCACTGATTTTGAGACTCCATTCACCTGACAATAAGTAGCTATCATTTACCCCAGTCCTGGCTGTTAGAAAGAATCACCTTTATCTTCAGAGAAGCAGGGATAATGTCCAATCAGTACGTTATAGTTGAGAGAAATGGTTCTAAGTTTAGGAAAATTGCCAGCTGCATTTTGTTATCAGTAACCATTATTTAGATAGCATGGCTGATGTGCGTAGCGCCATACAGACAGGGACAAAGAGCAGACCCTTGCCCTGTGGAGCTTGCTGTCTATATTACACAATTAAAATAGGGAGAGATACTAGCATAATGGTAATGGTGAGCTSTAAGCATCACAGTGGGAAGGAGAAGAGATTATAAGAAAAAGAAAAACTTCCTGTGAGAGAGCACTACTGCATCATCCCTCTATTGTCATTTTATATTCAGCTCTGCCAGAGGGCTTTGTTGTTTCAAAATACAGTCTGCATAGAAGAGGGAACTGATAATTCCAGAGTGGAAGTCAATAGAAACAGGCCTATGTGCTCATAAGAGAGAGGTGGAGGATGTTGAGTGGTGAGAGTTGGGTGCTGTGGCGTGTAAAGGCACACAAGTGATGCTGTGGCAAGCTGGTGGATCGTGTCACACAAGCTCACAAGGCTCTGCAGGGCATGGAAAGACCKGAGGCCCTTAACCTGGAGTACTCAGTTAACATGGAGGCTGTGCTTTTCTCTGTAGCTCAGGATACAAACAACATGGTAAGATGCCATTTGCCACCAGCTCCTAAAAACAAGCTTTTAGGTACCACCTTCACAGACACAATTTCTCCTTAGGCGCATGGTGCTTTACACCCACGCTCTAATTAAACAGTTTTATTATGAGGTCAGTTTGTGTATTGCTCTATTATTTTGAGGCAATCATGTTGAAAATTAATCTGACTCTAAACACAAAAGCACAGACTTAGCTGAGCTGCATACATAAACCAAAGTGAAGTTAATACTAAGAAACTCAGCCTAAACTAACACTAATCCTAACTCCATCTCTTTAACTGCATGGAAAAAAAGAGATTTTTAGATGGCTGTTAATATTACTGCATTTTTCTTTGTTGACCTGAAGTTTTTAGCAGGAATCAACCATACTGGAGCAGAGATGATTCCATCTAATAGAAAACAATGGTACCACAGGAATACATTCATTACTGCACTGAACTTCTAAAAAGGAGGAATCTTCTTTTTTCTAGTATTCCACTTTGCTTCTGCTACTTAGCAAAGTAAAACAGAACATGTATTTCCCCAAACTGTCTTATTTCCRTAGACATTCACAAGGCTGGTGCAGAAAATTGAGCCTACCTGGTAATATCTTCTCAGCTATATAAAGTAAAACCGATTAAGAGAAAAATATTCTTTAAGTTCCTAGAAAAGGCTGTTGGTTTCTACCATTCATGATCAAAAAGATCCTAGAAAAAATATGTCCAATCTTTAACAACACTAGGAAATTGAAATAACCAAAATGGGATGYGATTGGTCTTTTGACTTGAGGTGCCACCATTACCTGCTTTTGCTGCTGAAACATTGTCTGATTTCTAATGGCTTCTAACATTGTGTTCCTACCTACATTGATCATTTAATACCAGCATCTTCTTTCTGACAAACCACAAACACTTGCAGAACTTGACCTCTTCTCTTCATCGCTTTTGATTAAGAAGAGAACTATCTGCAGGAAATGCCCTAYAAACCACAAAGGATTATCAAAAATATAATGATGAGCGAGTGATTCAGGGACTCTGTGGCTCTGCTTGTGTTTCTGTGGTCTGATCTTGGTCACTCTTCCCTTCTCCGCTGGAGCTTTGCTGTAGTTTCTTCTAGTCGGCTTCTCCAAGCAGCAATAATGGCATCATCATCCATCTCTTCTTCCTCTTCTTTACGTGTGCTTCGTCTGTACTGAGAGACCTGCCTAGATGCAAACCTTTCTTCACTTTTCTCCACTTTTGCCTCCTTCTTTCCATCCTCTTCAGACTTTGAAAAGCTCTGGAACTTTCTCTTTGCTCCAAACTCTGACACATCTGACCTGGTCTCCTCTTCACATGCCTCCACATGATGAGATCTAACTCGGCTCTGTGTAGATGGTTCAGGGGATTCAGAGTCAAAGGGTGGCTCAGGTGACTGGCTGAAAACATGCAGCTCTGGGCTGTTGCCTCTGGAACTTGTCTCACTGACCCTGGATCTTGTGAACTTGTACAGCTTTTTATCCTCTTTTGCAGAAGCAGAGGAAAATCTTGACATGGTTCTCAGTGAATCTCCTGTTGACTCGTAGGAAGAACAGCTATCTAGCTCTTTTCTTTGGGATCTGCAGAATCTGTAACTGGATGTTTCAGAATCCATCTGTCTAACTTTGGATGATCTACTATATTTCTCTCTAGCTTTCTCAGTTTGATCATAATATGACGGTGGTTCCCTTTCTGCTCTCAGGCCATTGAGCCACTTGGTAATACCTGTATCTGTTTCTGACTTCGGTGCACCCAAGACAGCATCAGTTCTGTCAAAATCTGCTTGCAAGGGATGCCTGTGGTTGTTCATTGTACTCTCCATGGGGTCTTCTGTTTCATCTTCCTCTGCTTTGGTCACCTTTTTTTTAAATAAAGTGCTACGTTTATTGTCTCTGATCACCTTTTCAATTTGATAGTCTGACATTTTTTCTCTCATTTCCATTTGCATCTCCTTCTCCTTCCTGCTGAGTTTCTTTAGGTCAACATCATCAACAAAGAGGCTATACAGTGGCTTGCTTGACTGTRCTGTCCTTGTGTTTGAAGTAGCTCCTTCCGTCCTTGCACTCATGGAGGTGTTGCAAGACAGCACAGACTGAGACTCAGCCCTGCGCAGCTCCTGCTGGTGGAGCTGCGAGGCAGCAAGGGATGAGCCACTCTGAGCACTGAGAAGAGAAACTTTGTCATCATCTGCATGCCTGCCAAGGTCTCCTGACAGGGAGGCCATGGCAGACGATGGACGGGACAGCATCAGGATCTCATTTTGCTTTTGAGCAATGGTTTCACTGACCACGTTAGCGATCCAGTTCTGAATGCTTGCCATGGATATTGTGTCACCTGGGCCAACTGCGAGATTGGGAAGGGATATATTGGGCATCTGAGRCTGCACTGCTGCTGTACAACTCCTGGTCTGTGACAAAGATGAACGATTTGTCTGCATGCTCAGGGCAGAAGCTGCATCATCGGCACCACTTGCAGAAGGTGCCGAAGGCCAGAAAGCTGACAGGGGAATACTCCCACTCATYGTACTCTCTGTCTCCCAGCTACACATGGACTGGCTTTCTTCTAAAATTTTCTTTGAACGTTCAAGGAGTTCTACACGCCTCTGCTTCTTTTTAGCTGAAGCAGAATCCTCAGTTTTGGCAAATTCCACAAATTCCTCCTTGCTGCTTTCACTGCCCACCTTCTTCTGCCGCTTCATCTTCCAAGCCTGGTAAGCAGTCAGATCAATATCTGACAAACTCTTCCCTTCTGTTTCCTCCTGACCTGCCTGGCTGCCATCTTCTGCTGCAGATGGTTCTAAATCCTTCTTGTGAAAGCCAAACTGGATCCTCTTGATCTTCCACCTTTCTAGAGGAGTCAGCTTGTCCTTGTTCTTTTGGCAGAAATTGTAAAAGGAACTACAGGAGGAATCTGAAAACACACTCTCCTCATCCAGATCCCTCTCCTTTCTTCCTGTTTCTGGGGACTGTCTCTCCCCACAAGTTTTATTCCTAGAATGATACCTCTGAGCAGCTTCTTTCTCAATCTCCAGAAGCCTCTGATTCCACATGTCCCAAGTGCTCTCAGAAGACATAGAGCCTGTGCGGCTCCTCCTCGTCCTGCTAAAGCTACTGGCTTCCAGCTGTTTTTTTAGGGTTCGAATCTCAAAACTGCTCACACTCTCAACATCACTGAATTTGCCTGATGGGTAAGGTCTTCCTCCCATGCTGCACTCACCATCCTCCTCCCTGGCTGTACCCTCCATTTGGTATTTCTCATTTCTGCGCTGCCAGTCATGGATCCTCTGTTCCACATCCTCATCAGATTGTTCCTCTTCCTGATCCAGAGATGTTCTTCTTTCACGGTGAACTCCCAATTCCTTTGCAGATAGGCCTTGCTTCTTCCTCCATTCCTCATACAGCTGTTCCTCTTCCTCCTCAGTGATCAGGGTGGAGTGTTTGGAAACCCAGCTAGTTTTTTCCACTGATGAAGAGCTCATAAAACTACCCAGCATGCTGCTGGTGTCCTCTTCTTCTACTGTGATGGAGTGGGCTTTGGCTCCCTTGATGCTCCCTGAGTCCCCAGCTCCAGACAGCCGCGAAGAAGCACCAGCGTAATCATGAGGACTTTGGCTCGGGGTCACATCCTCGTCTCCAGAATGCTCCAGTTCCCGCTCCTCCAACARCTGCTCATTGAGCTCCCGCAGCTGCTTCAAGAAGCCATCGTTGGGGTAGATGGCACGTTTTTTCCTCAGGGTCATCAGAGCCTCCAGAATGGTCATATGGTGGTAGATCATCAGGTAAGCAGCCACCAGCACAGCGGAGCGGCTGATCCCCATCTCACTGCTGACAAGGATTCTGCCTACAGAAGTAATATGAAAAGAATCAGGTATTGCCAGTAACAGACAGGATGCTCTGGTAAGTGACACAAAAGCATTCTCCAAATAGTGGGAAAAACTACACAGATTATGTGTTTCACTGACTGAAACCAATGCTAAATATTTGACACCTTCACCTTAATAAAAAGTCTAGATACATATGAATAAAAAGCACTTTAGTTGCAAAAGCTGTGGGCAGGCACATTTCCAAACAATCTAAATAGTATTTGTATTTTTGCCTACACACTCCACTTACTCAAATATTCAAAAAGCTTAGAATAAGTATTAGAAAGGCAAGTGAGACATTCTTGACTAGCTGGCTAACATAGGTTCAGACATTTAAGCTTACCATGGTTGTTTCTCAATATGTAAAAACAGAGATATTAGCACTAGCCTCCAGGAAGGTATTGGGAGAACAAGCAAGTAACGTATTTTTTCTGTAAGGCACACTATAGGACTTAAATACCATTTTATATTAACTTAATTGTATTTTTGCCAGAATCCAGATCAGTTTTGCAAGGTACCCTCAGACAATTACATAGTAGACTGGCTGCAGGCCAAAGTCCTATTATATCTTACAAGAGCAGAACCAAGCAACAATTAGAAAAAAACTGATTTTGACAAATGGATCCAGCTGTTTCAAACTACTGGGACCCACTGTCCTGTGCCAGTGACTGTGTGAACGAGAATCAAAACTGAGGATCTGCTTCATTTTAAGGCATTTGCTACCTCTTGCAGAAAACTAAACTTTGGCACAGAAGAATTGTTTGGGGTTTTTAAAAGTCACTTGTATAGCAAATTACAGCCAAAGAAAAGCATGTAAATATTAAGAGAGTGTAAATGAGGCTTTGCCAGCTTGCAAACAACTGAAATTACTGTTTCTAAATGTGTGATAAACTCCAGTTTAATCAAACTGTTTGCACTGAAACGTAATGAAGTCAATTTAAATGCCACCTTTCTGACTGCTATGTTACCACAAGTGTTTACCTAATGAACCTCTTCCTACAATCCTGAAATCTCTTTTATACATTTCTTAGCATCAGAAGTCTTAGTTTCCCTCCAAGTGCTTTATCAGCCAGCAGACAATCTAACAGCTCAACAAAAGGGAGAGATCTCCTTCCTCTCTTTTCTTCTAATGCTCCTCTGCCTCAGTGCATCCTTTTCTATGTGGGCTCCTCTACTGCCCAGGCCCTTTAACAGGCCAGTTAAGATCACTAACCCAAGAGAAAACCATCTCTTCCCTGCTGGACTCTCTTTTTTGCTGTGTTAGTGAGTTGAAGGATTGATGAATGCCAGAAGAAGGAAGCACCTGGACCATGCCAAAACCAGCATTGAGAGTTAAGGGAAAAAAGAGACATGACTGGAGTGTCCTTCCTCGTGTTGTTGAGCTATTAAAACTGGCTCAATGTTCCTTGTATATGAACAAAACTTCATATTCCTTACTGTCCTTTCTACTAGGAAGCAATCTKTTGCCTCTCTACAGAAATTAAATTAATTGACAATTTATACAAAGAATATCAGTGATATCACAGATCTTGGTGCTTCTTGCAACACTGAACTGTAAAAAGGTATTTCAAACTGCCCACTCTAGCTGCAACAAAATGACCAGTGTGCACTGGAGGTCCACAGAATAACAGTTGCTATGGAATTGAAGTCCAGCAAATTTGACAGTAGCCTGGGTGCAGACACCCAAGGTTCAACTCAGCCATTTGGACTGTTCTAGTAAATCAGCCTGGCTTTTTTTGCATCATGGCAAAACTGAAACGTGCAGGAATATATTTATCTATACATATATAGTATTAGATAGTACCATAATTATGAAAAATGTTTTAGAGCTCGGTTTCTACTCTTTGCTATCGCTGTATCCTTTCAAAGCAGCTGCAGGAGGTGACTGGCAGCCACTTTGAAACTGAAGCCATGGGGCTGACAGCAAGGCCTGCTGGGCTGCCTCCTCTTACCACTTTGTTCCCTCCTGTTCTGAATAAGGCCTGGCAGAAATGGGCAAGAGTTCACTGAAACTGCATGCAGAGAGGAAAGGCTCTGCCTTCTGCCCCACTACAAATGTGGCAGCAGCTGTTCATCAGAGTAAGGCTTCCCCCCATTAATTCCCAAGCATCCTGGGACCACTGCGATCTTCTCCTCTTACCTCTGTAAGTCAGCAGTGCTTCATCAAGGAACTCTGCAGCTGGGCGGAAGTGTTTGGAGATATCCATATCTGGAAAATCATCCACTTCAATGCCTAGGTACTGGATGTTGAGACCATTGTAGAAACTTGGTCCTGTGTAGACACCTGTACCATGAGCTGCGTTCAGGACATGGGTGATCCCCAGTCTCTTCAAACGGCTTTTGTTCACTGCAACGCTTCTGCAGAAAAGGAAAACATGAGGCCCCAGTCAGACAGTTCTTTGAGAGTTCTAGAGGCATTTCTTTCCAATGCTCACTGAAAAAAAAACAAGAAGCCTGCATTCACCTGTAGAGCCATACGCTTTGTTTCCATTCCAGCTAGATTTGAAGCTCATCCTAGGTTCAGGCCATGTACTTATTTATCAATTTTTATCACTCTGTAATTGATGCTTTATATCCCCTTGTAGTACTGTCTGGTCACTTACAGGTATCTCAGACAGCTGAACCATGGTACAGAAGACCTAATCATGTTTACTCGACATTTGCTATGGTGGCATTATYTTTTACATAACAAAGACCTTCATTCCAATTTTAGGGCCAAATTACAATCAGAACAGTGGAATATGGGYTTATTTGTCTTTGCCTGTCCTAAACTGTTGAAGCAGCCACAGCATAGGAAAGCTGCAGATTCTATTCCAGAAATATTTACTTTCCAGTGCATAGAGATTTCTGTGAGCACAGTCTGAAAAACACTTTAAGGCTCTCTAGGGATGAAAGGTATTAGATGCATATAATATATGTTATGCCTTCAATGGTTCCATTTGACCCTTTACTGGGAATCTCATGCAACTTGATGACAAAAGCTGACACTCACTTCTCTGCTATGAAGACATTAGGCCAGACTTCATCCACAGCATCCCTGGGGGTCTCCAGCCTGTCCTTCATGAGTGCCCTCTGCAAGTCCATCACACACGGCGTGTTAAACAAGCTGGTGTCATCAATCTTTTCCTTAACTCGGTTGTACAGGTCTTCCACCATCAGCTGCTGTGCAGACTCCAACATCCTGGGACACACTGAGTCTACCCTGACTTCCTTCGTCTTCAGCTCTGGAATAAACTGACATAGTAACTAAAAGCACATAAAAACAATGCAAATATATGAACTACTATTACTTGTGTCTGGGACAAGCTTTGTGGCTTTTTTTCTCGAGAAACATCACTGCGTTCTGTCTGCAGTGTGGGCAGGATGCTCACCTAGGAACTGCCTCAGGATAATTAATGATGACAAAGGCACATTGCACTGTCCTCCCCTCAGTCCCACACTGAGACTCCCAAAGGCCTGGGAGTTARGGGCACCCTTATTCCAGCCCCAAAAGAATGCAGCTGTTCCTTATACCTTCCTGAAGAGGGGGAGTGGAGAGGGAGCTGCTGAGCTCTTCTCTCTGGGATCCAGTGATCAGACATGTGGGAATGGCTCAAAGCGGAGCCGGAGAGATTCAGACTGGACATTGGGAAGCATTTCTTCTCTGAGAGGGTGGTCAGACACCAGAATTAACTTCCTAGAGGGGTGACTAATGCCTCAACCCTGACAGTGTTTAAGAGGTGTTGAAGTGCCATTAATAATATGCTTTAACACTTGGTCAGCCCTGAAGATGTCAGATAGTTGGACTTGGATGACCATCTATGTCCCTTATAACTGAAATACTCTATTCTGTTTTATTCTGTTCCATTCTATTCTAATTTAATTTGTTGCAGCAAGCAATCAGCACTCAGACTATTTACTCAGACACAATTCTGCCACAGACTCATTGCACAACTTCAAAGGAAGWCACCAAACCTTTCTGTAAGTTGTTATATCTTTCTCTACTTCAGATGGAGTTTTCTTACAAGGGCTTTTCTATCAATTATGATCTGTAGATGAGAAAGGCAAAACAAGTGTAACTCAGGTCTCTGTAACTTATACAGTTCTCTTACCTTCATGGATGATTTGTTTGGCAGCCACAGCAGATGACAGATGGATTGGCTCCATGAAGATGCTCTCTGTATCAGTGTCTGATATCACCGAAAACCTGCCAACCAACCACACTGCCTGTTAGGCAAATTCCCTGCACAGGAATACCATCCCCAGGACTTCAGCCTTTTCACCCATTCCAGAGGGAAACAGCAGGGAACTGGAGCACAAAGGATCCTTTCACTGTAGAAGGGAAGTCTCAGCTCTTTTCCCACTCCTCATTCCCATTCCAGCATGGCACTACAGGCTACAAATACACCTCGGCATCCAGTGTTTTCAGGATGTAAACAGGTCCCATGGGGAGAAGCTGCAGTGGGCTGGGAGTGCAAACAAATTGTCAGGTGGAGGAGTATGGGTAGAGAAGATCACTATCTGGTTTGAGACTGGGAAGGGGATGAATCACAAGAAATAGTCCTACATGTAACTCTCAGACAGACATAAACATGGTCCTATTCAGAAGTTATTATCTAATTCAAAACAGATTACACTAGATAACTGTTGGGCTCTCTTTCTGCCAGTTAATTGCCTACAAGCATTCTTTGAGTTACCACAAGCTGCAATGTAAGCATTGAGATTGAAGCCCATGAATCTCCCYTCAGTACTTTGTACATGAGGCACTTCAGAGCATGAAGCTGTGCTCAGTTTCTCCACTCACACCGTGTTGTGTAACTGCAGGTCAGAAASCTCTGTGGCACGCACAAACACCTTTGAAGGGAGTTATTTAACACAATGTAGTAAGTTTTTGTTAAGCAAAAAGGGGCCACAATCTTAAAAACAAGTATATTTACATCTGGGTCACCTGTACAGTCCAAGAAAATCCAGTCTCTCAGATCATCTCAACAAAATATTTTACAGAGCTTTTCCCCTGATCTACACCCTCTACACTTCCTTCCAAATACATGGTACAAATCACTAGGACAAGTTTGCTGCCATCACAGGAGTTCTTTGGCAATACAGGCTTGCAGACTTKCACTACACTGTTTGTTTTTGTTTAATTAAAGTAGGAGAGGGAGGGTGATTAATATGCAGTTAGGGTACAGCAATGTCTGGAGAGCTGAACTGCTTTCACGCTCCAGAATCAAAACAGAGGGCACAGCCATCGGAAACCACTTAACAGGCTCAYCTAGGTCATTTAGTGGAGTTCCAGCACTTGTCAAGCGTGACTGAAAGTAATCCTTTTCTAGTTCTTCAAAGGAGTTTATGAGATGAGCAAGGGGAGTCTCAGTCTCATTTACAGGAGCTGACACAAATTTGCAGCTATGCCCTGCCTTCAATTCCTTTTGCTGTAAAGGTTGTCTCCAAGCTTAATAAAAAGGTAACAGTCGGTAATAATCTGCCACCAAGCCTCAACACATTTTACCTGTAGCTGCCCTGAGCCTCCGTGAAATGCAGAGCTGCCCAAGCCTGGGTCCTTCAAGGACCCCCTTCTGGCTGGGAAGGATCTTGCTATTTTCATCACTGTGTTTTGTCAGTGACAACAAGAATAAAAGGAGAAAAAAAGGAACAGGGAAGGGAAGGGAAGGGAAGGGAAGGGAAGGGAAGGGA